AATCCCAAAGTCCATTAAACGATATACGAAATAGGAGCAGAGCAAACACGGACCTCCGAACCATCAGAGGTGGTATCGGGTGCCATGGAGCGAGCATCCCCTGCCGACCGGCCACACCCGCCCTGCGCTCCCCGCTAACATTATAAAACAACGGAAAAAATCCGCCGTCAATTCAGTGCACAAACAATGAATCAACAACCGGCACAAAAAACACCATCTAACACTTGACTCAATGATAAATTGCATTTGCTGACAAGGTCATTGTATCGACCACAGAACTTAAGAAATGATAACTTTTAATGAGACTGCTGATATTCTTGTTTAATCAACTTGCTTGTCAATAATTTACCTCGTTTAAGAAACTGTTCATACGTAGAGCATGCTCTTGCGTATCGAATCTACTGAGATATATATACTCCGTATACAGGTGATGAAGGAATATTGCTGCATAATTAAGGAAGGTTGACGATAGAATAGTTTAAGCCATTAAGGTTATCATATGGCTTTGTTGTAAGATTACTATTAGCGTCTTTTACAAGCAAAATATCCAAGTATGAAGCAGAAGTGTCGGTCGGACTCTGTGGTTACTTTTATCTCAAGCTTACCAGGATATATTTCCATATCCATCGTATCGACGTAGTAATGGAAACTATCATCCCACAGGTAACATATAATTCTTAATGACAAAACCGACATCATCTTCATCCCAGAGGTAACATATAATTCTTAAAGACAAAACCGATATCGTCTTCATCCCACATGTAAGCTGTGGTTTTGAATAGAGGAGTTAATGCTAGAAATGACATTATGATATAATATACAATTCTGAAAAATGTTTATACATGTATGTAGAACATGCTTTTGCGTAAGAAATCAACTAGGGTATATAAACTCTATATGCAGGTGATGAAAGTATACTTTGTTGCATGGTAAACAGTAAGGGAAGTTGACGATAAACAAGTTCAAGTCTTTACGTGTAGCATAGAGCGTGTGTGTTAGATCACCATTAACGTCTTTATCAATAAAATAAATGAATTCAAAGAATTGAAATTACCGTCGTAAATTAACTGTAAGTCGTCGATATATCTCAATGTCGAGTGGAAGGCTACAACAAGTGTCTCCTTCTGTTCACGCATTGTTACGCCCGCACATGCTACCGTAGTTGGAACTCTTTTGTTGAATGAGGTAATCTTTGTATCATTTGCGTTATTTTTATGTTCATGGCGGCAAGCACATGGTGCCACTAGCCCTCACATCCTTGCGAGAATAAGGCACAAGGAGGTAAATGAGTTATTTTTGTATGTGTATTTTGCATATTCGATCTAGCTGTAATTAGTTTTCTATGTATTGATTCTGTGTAATTGTTATTGTTACAGTTTCACGGTGAAGTTTGGTATCTTGTGACACTGCGGCGGGAATACCCGTATTTTTGTTTTGAATTAAACTTCATCAGTTAAAACCTAAGTAAACCTTATTTTATCTACGAGAGGGCCGATCCATAACCGCACATCTCTGCCGTTACAGTGAAACTCCTTACCAGGGGAAAACGGCGAGTGTGACCTATGGAAGCTTAAAGACGCCACTACCTTCTGACTTTACAGTATTTGTGAGCCTACATGATGTTTCTGTGATGATGTGTAAATGTGAACGGAACATAATTTGCGATTTATGTTGATGACATTAACTGTGTGAAAATTGTATGGTGACACGTTTGCGTTATAAAGTGACAATTTTAGCATTACTATAATAACATATTTGTGACTGTGTGTTAGTAAACAGTGTGCTATTAATTGATTAATGCCATTGATTAGTGCTAGGTATTTATTATATCTGTGCATATGAACAATTATCAAGACTGTGCTCTAGATTGGAACTGTATTGACTCTTGTTGCAAATGTTGATTTGTATTTAATATGTATACATGTGCATGTATTTACCTTGTGTGTGCTAGGGGAAGGTTCTGATATTTTATTGCAATATTTTATCACATAGTCAGTAGAAGTTTAGACCCCCTAACGGTGTTACAAACATGTCGAACGAAGAGATGTCCTATAAAGATGCACTTTCATCTATCCCCCCTGAAACAAAGGAAGACAACAACACAGGGCTTATTAGATCTGGCTTCTTCACTAGCGAAGCAAGTGAGTCTTAGTCGTTTACCCCCTCCGGAACCTACCATTTTCCTAGGAGATCCGTTGAAGTACCCAAGTTGGAAGGCATCATTTCAAACACTCATTGAGCAGGGTCAGATTCCAGATTCGGAGAGGATACATTATTTGAAAAAGTATCTGGGTGGGCCAGTGAAAGATGTCATAGAGAACTATTTTCTGTTATCAACAGATGATGCGTATGAGGAGGCTAAAGGACTGCTAGACCAAAGATATGGTAACCCATTCATTGTTGCCAATGCATTCCGTGACAAACTGGATAAATGGACAAAGATAAGCTCGAGAGATGGTGTTGGACTGCAGCGATTTGGTGATTTTCTCAAGCAGTGTTATACGGCCATGCAGAGTATTGGAAGCTTGAACATTCTCAATGATGACCAGAGAGAACAGAAGACTGCTGAGCAAACTTCCAGATTGGCTTGTGACAAGATGGGGTAGGATCAGCCACACAGTATAGAGAAGAAAGAATGGAATTTCCACCATTCAAGAATTTCATGGAATTTATCGTGAAAGAAGCCAAGATTGCAACAGACCCTATTACCTCCATAGAGTCTGTAAAGAAGTCTGAACTCACCCAATCAGAGCCGAGTAAACCACGACCTGATGTCAGGGTACGGCAGCGAGGTGCAGCTGACTATGGAAAACTATCTTTCCTGACAGACGTTGACGAGAATCAGCCCGCAAATGTGAACGTAGCAAATAGAAGTGACAGAGGGAGAAACTGTGTTTTGTGTGAAGGGAATCATGAACTAGATGACTGTAAACAGTTCTTAGCAAAGAGTCTGGAAGGAAAACAGTACGCAAAGCAGAAAGGTTTGTGTTTTGGGTGTTTACATTCGGGTCATCTATCAAGGAAGTGTCGTCAGAGGAAAAGATGCAAAACTTGTTCCAAGTTTCACCCCTCATCTTTACACGGGGACATCCATAGACGAGTACAGCACCAGGTTACAGAGGACGTGGATAAGCCAGCAGTGCCAAGGGAGAATTCTTCAGGAACAACACTTATGAATCAGTCCCGGAGCATCTAGTAAAAGTACCATGATACTTCCAGTTTATGTGTCACATAAAGAGAACCCAGAAAGAGAGAGGTTAGTGTATGCGCTACTTGACACGCAATCAGATACAACCTTTATTCTGGAGAAGACTTCAAGGGCCCTTGGACTTACTGGTAGACCTGAGAAGCTGATGCTATCTACTATGTATGCAGAGAACAAGGCCATAGATAGTTGTAAGATTGGAGGACTTGTTGTACGTGGCTTCAATAGTGAACACAGGATAAGATTACCGGAGACGTATACAAGAGCTATCATGCCTGCTAACAGATCTCATATCCCGACACCGGAAGTTGCGAGAAGGTCGCCTCGTTTGGAGGCTATTGCAGATGAACTCCTACCGCTGACTGATTGCGAAGTTGGATTACTTATTGGTTACAACTGTGTGAAGGCTTTGACGCCTAGAGATGTTATCGTTCCATCCGAAGACGGACCTTATGGTCAACGCACTGACTTGGGATGGAGTGTAGTAGGCATACTGGAGAATGACAGTTCAACGGAATGGGAAGGGGATCCCAGTCGGAATTCATCATCGTATTGTTGCGTGCGACGTGCCTACAGAATTGTGTACATCTGAAGCATCAAGGCAAGACCGTGTTGTATTTTCAGGTAAGGAACAAGATAAAGGAAGTAATCAACCCTGAAGAGGTAGTTAGGATGCTTGAAGTGGATTTCAGTGAGAACCTAAGCAGTTCAAAACATGTTTCCTACGAAGACAGAAAATTTCTGGATATCATGGAAAAGGGGATTCATAAGTGTGATGGACATTATGAAATGCCATTGCCTTTCCGAGAAGCAATGCCATACCTGAGCAATAATAGAGACATGGCATTTCAGCGACTTCAAGGCTTGCGGAAACGACTTGAGAAAGACGCAAAGTATAGCGAGCATTACGTTTCCTTCATGAAAGAGCTGATATCAAATGGTTTTGCAGAGAGAGTACCGAAGACGGAAATTGGTGTGGATAGTGGTCAAGAGTGGTATATCCCACATCATGGTGTATATCATCCGCAAAAACCAGGAAAGCTGCGTGTAGTCTTCGATTGCAGTGCAAGGTATATGGGACAGTCATTGAATGATCATTTGCTGCAAGGACCTGACATGATGAATATGCTTTTTGGAGTTTTGTGTAGATTTCGCAAAGAGCCAGTGGCCTTTGTTTGTGATATTGAGCAGATGTTTCATCAGTTCAAGGTGAATGTTGAACATAGAAATTACCTACGATTCTTGTGGTGGGATGATGGCAATTTTGATAAAGAGCCTACTACTTACCGAATGACTGTACATTATTTGGAGCAGTATCTTCTCCAGGATGCGGCAACTTTGGCCTGAGACAAGCTGCCACAGACGGAGAGCTTCAGTTCGGGTCTGATGTTGGGAACTTCATCAAACGAGACTTCTATGTTGACGACGGACTGAAGTAGGTAGCTACTCCAGAGGAAGCCATTAGTATCATATAGAGAGAAGCAAAGAGTTGTGCAGCAGAAGTGGTTTGAAGTTACACAAGTTCCTCTCAAACTCGAAGGAAGTTTTGGAGAGCATTCCCGTTGAAGAAAGAGCAAAGGGACTAGCGGATATTGACATACACCATGACAAGCTTCCCATGGAAAGAACTTTATGTATACAGTGGTGTATTCAGACAGACGTATTTCAGTTCAAGATTACACTGAGAGACCGTCCTCTTACTAGACGAGGGGTTTTGTCAACCTTGAGTTCCGTATTTGACCCCCTTGGATTCATAGCACCTTTCGTCCTAGTTGGGAAACAAATCTTGCAGGAAATGTGTAGAAACCAGACAGATTGGGATAGCCCTCTTCCAGAGAACTTGAGACCTAGATGGAGATGTTGGAGAAATGATCTTGAGCAGCTTGGTTCCTTGGAAATCAAGAGATGTCTAAAACTGGAGAACTTTGGGGATGTTGTTGTAGCTGAGCTACACCATTTCTCAGATGCGAGCACTATTGGGTATGGCCAGTGCTCATATCTTCGTCTCATCGATGACAAGCAGCAAGTACACTGCTCCTTAGTTATGGCAAAATCCAGGGTCACGCCACTCAAGCCCGTAACCGTACCTCGTTTGGAACTTACTGCTGCGCTCATTTCTGTTAAGGTCAGCTCCCAACTTCTAGAAGAGCTTGAAATCAGTAATATTGTTGAATGGTTCTGGACAGATAGCACTGTTGTTCTTGGATACATTGCTAATGATTCCCGACGATTTCATGTTTTTGTTGCCAACAGACTTCAACAGATTCGTGATCACACAGAACCATATCAGTGGAACTATATCAGTTCAGCAGAGAATCCAGCAGACATGGCATCACGTGGTGTTACAGCTGATGAGTTACGAAAGAGGAAAGAATGGTTCAGAGGACCCAAGTTTCTATGGGAGTCCAGTTTACCATTTACTGGTCAGCCTGTCAGCAAGCCAACTATATCTGACGATGACTCAGAGGTTAAGCGTTGCCAGGTGCAGGGTTCTCCATCATTTGAAATGTTACTGTGTTGCAGAGTCAACGCAAAGAACTCAAATTTCGCGGTATTTTCGCAATCAAATTCGCAACTGAATCACTATTTGTGAAAATACATGAACACACTTATTTAAAAATCGCTAAATAAATTAGTTACACAAATGTTATGGTCGTTCGTACATATTGATAAAAGTAAAACACGTTCTGAAAAGCAAGGAAATTCTGACCGATGCAGTGGTATTACTTAACATTTTTGAAAGTAAAATTGCCGTGATTATTTTTCAGTTTATCTTGATCGAGTTATCGCATTACAAAAAAAGAAGAAACTTCAGAACGGTAAACTATTTTAAGAGTTCCTTGAACAAAATTTTAAGCAATTTATTTACATCAATTAAATGGCTAATTAAATCGATCGATACGATGTTATGTCTAGATTATATTGCTAAAATTATTCTAGAGCCATGGCTCTATAGAAAAGACATATTTATTTATTTTTTTAAAATTATACAATGTATTTTATTGCAACTACCAATTAACCCTCATATGGAAGTGTGAAAACAAATTATTTGTCTTTGTTCCGTCATGCGTTAAGTCCGGCGAGGGTCTAGGAGATAATTAATTATACAAGGTGAAGACCTAGTGTTTAAGTGCTCTAACTTTTATAATTGAAAGACGATATAATTGTTTGATTAAAGTCTCAGTTAGAGAGAATTTGTGTGTTTAGATTTTCTAATTATCACAGATCTTACTGTGTCGGCAAATTTTTACTGTGTTGCAAGCATAAAATTTGAATCGT